ATCGATATTAAGTTAGTTTTTAACTTCTTTGAGTTCACGCATATTCAATTACATACACATCCCTACAGTATATTTAATGTCGATCATTCAACGAATCAAAGTTTTTATTATTAAATAAAAAATTATCGTATTTATTAAACATACGATAAATTAAAGAAAAATAAAGTAGTGAATATACAGTTATATTGATTCAAATTTAAGAACCTACAATTAATATGGCATGCTTTTGCCATTGGCTTCAATAACTTTGTCTACGCATCTAGGTAGACTCAAAATTAACTCACGCAAAGTTTCCAAATCAATACTCACCCATTCCTCTTGTAACATATGAATTAATTCTTGCTTTGATGTGATAATGATCTTCTTTTTCGAATTCAGTGATCCAAAATATCCCACAGGTGTTCAATCAGATTGAGATCAGGGCTTTGACCAACCCAATCCAAAAGTCGAATGCCATGTGTTGACATCCACCAAGTTATATATAGCAAGATATGACATGGTGCATCATCTTGTTGAAATGTAATATATGGATATTGGCAAGCCCAGGATACAAAATAATTGGTGAGAATATTAATGTAGACATCTGAATTTATGATTTCTTCTACTGACATCAAAGGACCAATCCCATCCCAACTGAAACACCCCCAAAATATCACTGATCCTCTGCCAAATTTAACAGTAGATTTAATGCATGCTTGATGATAAGCTTTACCAGGTTTTTGTCATACTCTTATCCAGTTATCCAATTCAAAAAGTGTGAATCTGAACTCATCAGACCAGATTATATTTTTCCATTATACTTTTCAGTTACATTTCTCTCAGCATCAATTTAATTGATGAAGTTCTTGATTTGGAGTTAAAAGAGATTTTTTTTTGGAGTGTAGCTTTCAAACACTATTTTATCTAAGTATTTGCGAATAGTATTAGCATAATAAGAAGTATTGAGTTTGTCATTTAGTTTATTTGTGATTTTATCAAGTGGAGAAAACTAATTTTTTTAGAATAATTCATTTTAGTATATGTTTTTCATGATTGATCAGAGTTTTTGGCTGACCAAAACATTTTTCAGAATGTGAAGAATTAATTTTTCTATATCATTTAATGGTATCATATACTATTACTTGAGGAATATTAAATTTAAGTGCGAGATTCAGACCTTTAATACCAGCAAGATAAGTGCTGATTATTTGCTCTCTTTGTTCATTCATTAATTCCTTTCCACACATTATAAAAAAGAAAAAAACAGAATTATTTTTTATTTATTATTGTGTTTGTATTATTATGTACGATGTTAATAAAATTGACTTTTTAAACTTTGGATCAGCATTTTGTACAACTGATTTCTGGTAATATACTGTAGGTGTGTGTATAATAGTTTCATTTATTATATTATTTATTACAATTTTACACTAATAAATGCTCTTTGAATTCTAAAATTTTGAATACTCAGAATAGTGAATGCATTTTTTATTGAATACAGAATTACTATAATAAATATACTCATTGTTATTTGAATATAATTCATCAATATTTTCACTCTTTCCCAATCTGAAAACATTATCTGAAGTCAACAAGTACAATTTCTAGTCATATGCTATAATAATTATATTAATTATAATGAAAAAAATGAGAAATCTAAATTATTCATTTGACATTATCATTATTATTTAATATATTATTATATATTTGTTCACTAATCATTAAATTAGCTGACAAATCTGAATTTGAGTTAAAGAGAGTAGTTAAGTTCTATACCAATTTTTATGAAAATTATAATAATTCAAAGATATAATAAAATTACAGGAGATTTTGTGAGAGAGTAAAGATCAAATGGGAAAGAAAAAGATAATAATAATAAGAGGATAAATGATAAATAAATTTGAGATGCTAATTCTCTGTACTTGTGTAAAGCTTTCCAGAACTAAGACAATTACAATTAATAATAACAAAATAATAAAGACTCTTTCACTTTGTTGTTCTCATAAGTAAGGAATAACAAAAATAATAACAAAAAAAATGCAAAATAACAAAAATCAAAATACTTAATCAAAATTAATGAATTCAATATTAATATTTTGTTCAGCACAATATAATACAAAGCCAATAATCTAATAACAGCATTTTGTTTAGTACAATATAATACAAAGTCAATAATTTAATAACAGTATTTGTTCAACACAATATAATTCAAAGCCAATAACAGTATTTTATTTAGCATAATACAATTCAAAGCCACTTTTATGCAAGCTTTTATATGTACAATTAAGAATAAAGATGTGAGTTATTTGTTAAAAGATATTTTACTTCTTTAGTTGCAACATATCAAGTTAAGACTCAGATAGTATCTCTATTTATACATAGAAAAAAATAAAGTAATAGATAAAATATTGAATAGAATAAAATAATGAGCTATTTTTTGCTATAACTAATTTTTGGTAATTATTATTTTTCTAATATTTTTGAATTTTCATAATATTTCATGAATACTGTAACAATACTTGCCATTTAAAAAAAAAGTAAAAAATAACTATGTAATATAATATTGAATTTCTAATTGGTTTACTGCAAGTTATACTAAAAAATTCCTAATGGATATATACTGATACATTTACAAATTATTTTTTTCAAAATATCCTAAGCCACGGCAAAAAAAGTGTCGAATCATGTGATCTGAAATAAGTTCATTAAAATATCCGATTAATATTAAACATTAAGTATTAGGGTTAGGGTTAGAGCTGAGATCAAGGTTATACATAAATTTTCTTCCCGACATTTTTTGATAGTAAACCAAGCTAGATTTAGATATATGTTTTTTGTATTTTTCGCATTTTTTGTCTTATTATTTTCTTATGCCAGGTTGATCAAAAATTTGCTACATTCCTATTGGTTGTGCATAATTTTTGCGCATTCTTATTGGTTGGCCTGGTTCATCATCACCCGACACTTTTTTTTGCCGTGGCTAGGGTATTTTTTTCATTCGTTACGTGGGATATAAGTGTAACGGGGGGTAATAACTATAATAAGAGATGAATGATTATTACACATGAAGTATGCATTCTTTCTTTTTTTAAGCGCAAAAGTGAATACGTTACTATTCTTCTTGAGCAGGACATTGCTCTAGGGTTTTAACCTTAACGGTTTGTCGAATAGTATTAACTCCGCCTATTTTTTTCTAGTCCCATTATTATGTCGCAAGAGTGTTCGTCCAAGAAGAAGTCGCGTCCCGTTCGTTATAATAAAAAACATAGGCTCGAAAAAGAACAAAATTCGATCTTACAGCAGAGTATAATGAGCCTGTTCTAACAACGACGAACAATATTTTTTTCAACCCGAACCAGGTATAGATGATTTCGAAAATTTTTTTATAGTATTAGTGTGTAAGGGTCCCTTTTGCGTTGATAAATCAACTACCCAGGTTCCTCGTTACGAGTATACTTTTTTATGCAAAAATTTCGTTTCTACTATTGAGACGATAGGGCCTCTGACTTTGTATTTGTGTTGTAGAAATCGCATAATTACTGTAGTAGTGCTCAATACTTGGGCTAGGGTGGTTTGTTCAGTCCGCAAAAAAAATAAAAGGAAGCTTATGAGTTAATTCACATTATATATCCGTGCATTCCATGCATTAGCATAGGACCCAGTTGTGACTCGAGGACTATGTACAAGTGACAAATCTATTACATCGAAAAAGAGTGTGAAAACTTCTCCCTTGGAAAATTCACAATAAGTTCATCGAGAAAGTCGAGGACCAGCCGACGGATCGAAAATGACACTCTTTGCTGGAAAAAAAAGTGAGCTAACAAATAATGACAAAGTCATGACTGATCAGAGCACTTAATACATACTCCAGTTTGCTTCCTCTCGCGGCATATCAAGCGACACCGGCACTTAACAACAACAATCTTGCGACCAGCTCGTCCTGGCATCCCGCCTCCAGAATACCACCAGATCGAAAGGTCGATTCTATATACAAAATTAATCGATTCTAGAGAATCGATTCCTAGTTACAAGGCTAAATAAGGCAGTGCGAAATTTTTTTATTTTTTGAGGGATTGGATACTTCTGTACGTAATTTTTTCCCCAAGTCAACTTTTCGTACGTAGTTGGAATTCCCTTTTAATTTTTAAAAGTCGCTTATTGATATCATATACATGTACCGATGTGATAATTAATATTCAGGTATCGGTATGGCTTATCATTATTATGCATTCAAGTTCTATAAATAACTGCTTAACATTAAATAATGTCATTTCTCATTTTTCATTTTCATTTTGAACGATTTATTAAGCAAATCGATTGTGGCCTAAAACCACACACTTTTATTTGATATGCAATATTTTCTGTCTAGAATTCTCTACGTAGTTTAATTTTTTTACGTGCATGAATTTACCTGGATGCTAAATGCATTAATACATGAATCACCACATTATAATTGGACCGAGATAATTATTGTTCTAATAAACAATTAGCCTTCATAATGAAAGTCGAAGATATACATGTACATTAAAGTCGTTAACGTTAACGTTAACGTTAAGAGTTACACTCTGCCGATTACTGTTACATGTATTATGCTGCAACTAAAAATAGGCTATTGTTATCGTCATATGTATGCATAACAATGTTCTATAGTGATAGTAATCATAATAACGATAATGAAATAACAGGTTTAACCTGAACTAACGACAAAATAAAGAATTTATTCCCACAATGTCATTTCAGAATTGAAACATATCGATATCGATATCGATATGAACAATGCAATGTTTGATTATACATTTGATATTTAGACATTTCAACACATTTTAGACATAATGATCTCAGTCTAACGCTAATGCCTAGTCTACTATAATCAAAGAAATAAAATTACATAAACATAACGAGAAGAACTTGATTTAAATAAATCGCCGACTTTGCATTTCTTATCGGAAATATTTTACAAATTTTCAATTCATCAATTTTTGCAAAACATCAATTTTTCACACTCACAAAAAGCTTGTAAAATGGACACTCTACGTATACTTTACATGTTTATACTGGCGATTATGCTCTTTTTGTCGGAAATCAATTTTGAGGGCTATGAAGATTTATTTGACCTTTTGTTCCCACTTTTCATTTACTCAAACAACAACAACATTGATCAAATCGAAAATTTGTTGCGACTGAGTATAGAAATTGAAGTCTTTTCTTGTACAAAGACAACGAAAATTATAAGTAAATACATGAAACTCGTTGGGGTGATCTTGTTTAACGAAGATATCGAAAATTGGAGAGTTTATTGGCGATTATTTGATCAGATTGTTTCGGGCGACCGTTTTCTACGCAAACTATTTGATCTTCGTGAAATTATCGAAGAGTTACGAGAACTACAAGATTTAACGCAATTGGCGATGTATTGTATAGGTCAATGTTTCAATAAACTGTTAAATGTGTTACAAATCCAGATGTCGGAAGATCTTATCAAGAAAAACAAAAATATTATGCCGCAACTAGAAAAATCGAGTTCAGCACTTTGCTACTTTTTAGCGTTTATACCCAAACCAGAACAGTATTTTAAAATTTCCAATAAAAGCAAATCAGTGTATTGTAGTGATGAAATAAAGACTAGTAAAATGTTAACACTGTCTGATCCTGAAATCTACGCTGTGTTAATACATATTGTAGAATTAGCCGGGTATATATGGCGTGCCAGCACTCGGTTTATTACAAGTGTGTTTGCAATTCACAAAGATCCAGATCTTTGGCAGAATCAAAACGAACACAATACGGACTGGTTTTTCGACGACGAACAAAAATTAAAGAAATATGCAAATCCTGATTTCGGTGACGGAATACATATTTGTTTGGAAAAGTTTCATAGATTTTATGTAGAGTCGATTGACTCCCATTTATCAAATATTAGTAAATATTTTGTAAATGTGTGTTTCAGATGCGGAATTACTTGAAGCAAAATAGTTTTTGTTTTTCTCATTTTCTGTGAAATTTTTATTTTAATTAGATGTACTAATCTACGTACATGAATAACTCCAGTCGATTCTGATATCGATATGTAAATATTAATGGTATTTTTATTATATACAATTAAAAATCCCCCCCCCCCCCCCTATTGTTATGTTCGCTATTTCAAATTTCGTAGACTAGAAACTTGATTTTAAATAGATACGTACATAACAATACGTACTATCACTATTTATTTATATTTAATGCAAATCCTTTACACAAATAACGATAACGATAATAATAATAAATTTGATGATACATGTATTAACGATCATTTTTCGTGATGACCAAGCACACAAACATCAACGTTTTAAATTTTTTTTATTTTTTCAATCAAACATATACGTATATACATGTATTGTATATCGAGCACAAAAATTGGTAGAAATTCGGGTTCTACACGGGTACTTTACAAACATGGCACATATCGATATAAAAATTCTACATGTATATTGGATTGGGTCATCCGAATATTATGGCTGTATCGGTGATTAAAAATATTTATCATCACATCATCATCATCATCATTCTTTCTTAATTGAGGTATTTTTCACGTATATAGACACCACCATCCCATCTTATTGTTGAAAAAAAAAATACACCAAAAATGTCGACACTAAAATGTAAAGGTTCATTCGAGTTTACCATTTTCGAGGCGACGAAGCTCGTTGGAGATGTGTACAGTCCGCCGTTCGCCACTTCAAATGAAATGTTTTGGCAATTAGTGTTCAATCCGGTAAGATAATAACTTAATTATTAAATATTATCGTCATGAACAATTTATTCATCGAATGTTATTTGATAGTCTACTCCTGATCACCCACAATTTTGTTCACTTGGTCTCCGAGCAATCCCGAATCCCGAAGAAGAAAACACAACAGGAATATGGAAAAATCGTGATATGTATTTCGCCACAATTTTTCTAAAAGATCCGAAAACTCAAAAGAAAATTGATATTGGACGAGCAGAGTTGAATGGATTTTCAGCTACAAGGCGTGGCTTTGGTTTGTTATTTCGCTTTGTCTGAGAAACATACAACAAGAAAATATTTGATCTAAAGGAACTTTCTATCATCCTACACCCTTGTTTTAGGCTGGAAAGATTTTTGTCATAATTCAGAGCTTCCCGCACACGGTGAACTGGTTTTCGGTGTAGAATTTGAGAACGCAGACATAGGACTTGTAGCACATTCTGTCACTCTGCCCGGTCGGTCGCTACCCAAAGATCTCGTCGATGCTTGGGGCGACCAGCTGAATAACCCAGATACCGCAGATGCACAATTCAACGTAAACGGACGAACAATCTACGCGAATAGCGGAATACTCTGTCGTCGTTCCGACTATTTTAATACAATGTTTAATGGAGCTTGGTCTGAAACTAAAGCCAAAAAGACGCCGAATCGGCAAATGTTTACACGACATGTAAGAGATATGAGTGAATTTTCGTTGGGGAATGTTTCGATTGAGAAAACAACAGGTTCTGTTGCTGCTAGTGCATCAAACACAAATAATAATAATAATAGTAGTAATAATAATAGTAATAATAATAATAATAATAATAATAATAATAATAATAATAATAATAATAATAATAATAATAATAA